GGGGAACTGGGCGTACCAGAGTGTAGGGGCGAGTGGATGTTCGCCGATGTGATACTTAACGGATCCAATTTGGCTACTAAATGTCCCCGAACCTAACCGCCCCAACCATTCACAACCAAAACAAAATGAAATCAAATTAACAAATTATAAAACTATACAAAAGTACAGCAATTGAAAGAAAAAATATATTTTTAAACTCAATTCAACGGTAAAAATGAAATCTAATTGAAGACCTGATAGGAGCGTATGATCGCCTGGACAGACAAGTGGTCGTCGATATCCCGGTGCCCTACGGCTGACACATCGCTTTGCGGACTTAAGGCTGTGGTTGAGGTGATGTCAATGGCGGGCAGAGTAGAGCCCCCGGAGGCCAAAGAGGGTGGACTCGTGTACGCGAACCCGGGCTGTACTCCTGCGGTGGCGCTCTTGAAGAATGCGTCCCAACTCTTATGGACAGTATTGGGATCCTTTTGCCACGACTTATACATCTCCTCCACATATATAGATGACGAGCCATTGAGGAAGGGTTCCTGAGCTGCCCGTGCGGTGAATACGCGAAATGGCTGTCCGTTGGGAGCGGTGGTGCCAACGGTGCTCACAATCCTGCCATTCAGACCATAGCCAACACTTGCGCCTAGTTTTAGGTGGCTTTTGATGAGACAATTGGTCACTCTTTGCATTGTTTCGCAATACTGTTTGAGTCGACACTTTGACAGTGAAATCAAAACTCAGGATCAAAAGAGTCACTCAGACTCTGAACGCAATGCATAGATATATACTTTGGATATTAATAGCTCTACACTCGTCTGCGGCTTTCATGACGCGCATGACATATGTCATGACATGACGTACATATTGGAAAGGTGTCCGTCCGTCCAGTTTTCAACATTTAATTAATTTTATAAATATTAATTAAAACTCGGTTCCTATTCAATATAGTAAGCCCTGGTATGTAAGACCTTGGTTTTAATTCAAATGAGTGTATTATAATAAATTAATGAGAATTAAATATTTGAATTGTTTTAAATATGAATAACTATATTACTTCTGTTGAATTAATCACATTTAATCACTATAACATGAACATATTAATTATGCTAATGCATATTGGCCCAACTGAGCGACATTTCTACATATGTCATGAGGACGAACATATTGGTTCGCGTCTATGTCTTTTGTCAAACCTTACAGTGTGTCTGTGACGTACGCAACAGTACTGTATTATACGGCAATACTATCACTTTATGCACGTGATAGGGCGAGTACTAGAAATAGTACTCAAATCTTACATAACTTATCATAGCTTGCGTTTCATAACCGCAATGAAACTTTCATTTGACTCAAGTTATGAGATATCTCTTCGGACAGTACTGTCAACGCATTGGTCACCAGAATAGGGATAAACTCGTGGCTAACGTCCGACAAGCTATCGGCGAAGTGATAATCAAATGGCGACCAAAGCGGATGTCGTCGACAAGAAGCAGATGTGGACTAAACTGATCGCTTCAACCAATGATAACCTGGAGGACAAAAACCTGAACGTAAAGACACTTCTGTAGCAGATCTGATGTTCTGTCGCAACGGTTGGATCGACTGAGTCGACAAGAAGCAGATGTGGACTAAACTGATCGCTTCAACCAATGATAACCTGGAGGACAAAAACCTGAACGTAAAGACACTTCTGTAGCAGATCTGATGTTCTGTCGCAACGGTTGGATCGACTGCACGGACTCACGGATCAGTCAATCTTCGAGTCGTTGTCATTATTCGTTGACCCGGGTGTCAGAATTGATACCAGAGATCGTGGACTACATCCAGAAGATTGTGGCACACAGTGAACGAGCAATTAATTTATTATTCATTTAAATTATTAAAAATAAAGAAAATTAATTACAATAACTTCACTGACACTCAAAGACCAATAGATTGAAAAGTTTTACAGAAATAATCGCAAGTTTTATGTCAAAAGTGTAATCATAGAAACAAATGGCAAAAAGAGTCTTAAATTCAATTGATTTGAAGTAAACTTAATTTTTCGTTTAACATGAGTTGGGTTTTGGTTAGATTTGTCAGATAGACAACCATTAAGAGGTCTTTGAGGTTAGCATTAAGCGAGTCGTCGTCATCGCCACCGAATGGGATAATACTCTCGATGGTGGCCATCAGTTGTCTTCCGATATCATTACTATTACTGGGAATCGATTTATTGCCGGAAAGTATGTTGTCGTCGATGAAGGCCAGTATGGTTTGGATGAGTTCCTGCGCTTTCTGCGAGGTCTGCACAATCATATCCAACTCGCTGTCCATCTTCTTGGCGATGCCGAACGTCTGGAGCCCGGAGGCCAACATACAGGCGCGCAGACCTATCATCTCGGGCTCATAGCCGGCCGCTATCGACACGTCCGTCAGCAACGAAAACATGGTTCCCGTCGTCTTCCCGGGCACTCCGAAGGGCGTCGAGACGTACGCCTTCACGTTGAGGTTGCGCTCCGACGGATCCACTGTCAGGTGAATCGGGTTAGACGTCTCGCGCGAGTAGTAGTCATGGATGACAACGGAGTACTCATTCACTTCACCGCCTCCGGTGGCGAACCAGCCGACGATCGTCTCATTGGGATTCACTTTGCGGTGCAATTCAAACAGCTCTTTGGCGACCTCGATGTCGATGGCCACCTCGTTGTTGGCCTCCCGGTGCTGCACCACAAACGAGTTGCTCACCTCCACGTTCCCCGACTTGTCCTGAGAGCCCAAGAGAGTGCCGATCACTCGATTCGCGTCGTGGTTTCGGCGCTGATATATGTCGACGATGTTGAACAGCACCACCGGATGGATGCGGACTGTGATGGACGTCATTGGAGATGATATTGCGGTCAAAGATGTGGTGATTAGTCAGCGAAGGATTGCCAACACATTGACGGCGAGCAACAAAATGTGTTCACAAAGTGTCAGCGCATGCGTCCACTCACGCACTATAGGTGTGCGCACTCACGCACTACAGGTGTGCGCAGTGTCTGTACGATGAGTGCGTCGACAATGCCTTTCAAATAGCTCTCGATTTCCCGAATATTTTCCGCATTTTGTGTTTATTTTCGTATATTTTGGCGCTTTTTCTGTGCATTCAGTCTATGAGTCAATGAATGCTTTGAATTGATTTCGCAGTTAATTGTCGTTTGAAAGCAATTCGTAATACATTTCATCGCAAAGTCATGTCTTTCACGAAGAGTTTGTTTGAGCGACAGATCGGTTCCAGAGGTCGACCGCCGAAGCCGTCCATTGACGACGCGTTCAGTAAACTAAGTCTTTGTCGACAGTATCTGTTCAGCGATTTAAATGAAGTGAGCGTTTGATTGGCCATTGGTTTGCCGTATGTCTCATCTGATCCTATGGTGATGTCTCGTATGGTTAGGTGGGAGCGCCTCCTCTGGCTCTGGCCCTCAATCGGCGCCTCCTGTGTGTGGCCAACGATGGCGGAGACGTGGCTCTGATGGACAAAACGGATCTCAATGTCCGCCACAAATGGACGGCTCATAACAACGCCATCTTCGACATCAAGTGGAGGACGGGTTTTGATCATCACTTGGGAACCGCTTCGGGCGACAAGTCTATCATTGTTTGGGACATCAATACAGGTGTGTATTATTGGCGCCAATGTTGAGTGCGTTTGTAATGGCAGTGAATGTGTGATAATTAGCGGAGAAGTACTACTCGTATGACTGCGCGCACAACGGATCCATCAAATCCATTGACTTCAAGGACCAGAACGTGTTGGCCAGTGGTTCACGCGATGGACTCATCAAGATATGGGACCTCCGATGCGGTCGAGGTTTGTAGACATTTGTGGCAAAAGTTTGCGATTTGTATTAACTTTGCGGTGAATCCAAAGGCGGATCAGTTATAGTGATAGAAAGCGCACACTTGAGTCAATTGCCGTCAATGAAGTCATCGCCGAGAGTGAAGTCCTCGCAGAGGGCGTCGCCGTTGAATAGCGTGACGTGCGTTGCCTTCAACGGCGCCACTGATCTCTTGTACAGCAGTGGCGCCAACGACGCGACCATCAAGTTATGGGACTTAAGGAAGTGTCGCAGAAATAAGTCCAACAAAACCTCTTCGACTCCTTTCCGTGAGTTGTATCAGACGTCGAGAAGGGGTTCACCATCTCATGGCTTCACTTGCCTTACGTTCGACTCGAAGCACCGGCTGTTCGCCAGTTGTAGTGATCACACGGTTTACGGCTATTTGGGAGACACTTCTCTGCCATCACTGAAATGTTATGGACTTCAGGCCAATAACTTCACGCGAATCAACACATTTGATGACAACTATCTAATCAGTGGTTCAGTGAACGGTCGGGCGTTGATATGGTCTGTCGATTGGAACAGTTGTGACGCAAACACTCCGAGACGAATACATCCCATCTATTGGTTGCCACACTCTGAGGAGGAAGTGACGGCAATAGTGGCCGACAATCAGTCGTATAGTATATACACGTGTAGTGACGACCAGAACGTCAACAAATGGTCGCTCTTTAACCCGAATCGTGAACTCGAAGTGAAGACTAAAAGCGAACCATTCGTTTGCGACACAAATGAAATGAAAGCCAAAGAGGAAGAGCGCAATGTATTGACCCCTTCGGTGAGTGTCGGCAACGGACAGCCCTTATGCTCACTAAGCAATTGGTTGGAGAGGTCAGGCAAACAACACATAACCCCCTCTCACCCGAACCCAAAGCGAATGCGTTTAACGCAAAGCACTCCAAGCAATAGAGCGCTGAAGGAAAACAAATTGAAACTCAAATCAAGTAAAAGAAAACTATTCAATACTAACAGAAAAATCAGCGATTATTTCACTCCTTAACTCACGGCTCAAGTGATTCACAAATTATTTATTCATTCATTTCGAGTTTTACCGAAACTTTATTTATTGACTAATCTATTAATTAACACTGAGTGTTGAGTTGATTTAAATGTATTACCGTACAAATAACATGTGTTCATAAATTGTTCAATTATTAAATAAAATTCTCAATAAAATAATTATTGCATTTTCGTATTTGAGTATATTATCACAATCAGCAATCAGTGCCAACATGTTGAGTATTAAATTTATAAATAGTTAAGTCAATCTAAGGTATTACGGTATAAAAGTTAGACAATTGGTGTTTTAATAGGATGTTTAAAAATATGTTGTACAGTATATTAAAAAAATACTCAAAACTAGTTGTAAGGTTTGCGTTGAATATGAATCGGGTCTGAAAACGTATGGAAACAAAAAACGATAACATATACCGGTAACAAAACAATGGGTCACTAATAAAGACCTAACGTACGGCGTGCGAGTGAAGTGATGTCCGCTTTGTTGGGCGTATAGCTGGCGATCGTCAGCTTCGGGTGCTTTTTCTGGTGATGAGATTCCAGTTCTGTGGCGTTAAATACCTTCTCGTGACAGTGAAAGCACATGAGGAACGGCTCGATATACGTCTTCTTCGATGGTATCACTTCGGGAGCAATCTTTTGGGTCATTCGATGGGATGACGTGATTCCGTTAGTCTTAGGCTTCAATGCAAACCAAATGTTAGTATAACTTGTGAACAAAACATGCCTTTAATTAGGTTTACCGGAGATAACAATGAGTTGTGCAAAGCTAGCGATAAGTCAGGTCTTAGCAATGAATTCAAAAGTGGACTCTTTAGAGGACTTCTATTATAAGTAATAACGGGAAGGAGAGGCGACTTGTATTGGCTGTCGACTGTCCTAACGATAGGTATCACTTGTGCCGACGGCAGCGGAGTCGAGATCGACGGACGACTCTTCTTGTTCTGGATCTCTATCTCTTCTAATTTGCGTTTAATGTTTAACACCAAAGGGTTTTCGCACAACTTCTCTCGTTTAGGAAACATTTTGCTGTCAATAAATTTCTCCAAATCTAGGATTTCATCGCATTTGACAATCAATTTGAGCGATTCTTTCGCCAGAATCTTATTAACACCAAAGGGTTTTCGCACAACTTCTCTCGTTTAGGAAACATTTTGCTGTCAATAAATTTCTCCAAATCTAGGATTTCATCGCATTTGACAATCAATTTGAGCGATTCTTTCGCCAGAATCTTATCAGAGATGTCGATGCCATGGAATTTAAGCAAATGAGTAGAAGCACTGGCGTTATGAGCACTGAACCGGGCGTCTCTTCCGCCGTGAAAACATATGGAACACCGGAATGGAAAGTAATGCAAGTGTTCATAGATATGGTCTCTAATATCCTTGGATTTAATGTCTTTGAACTTAAATCCTTTAGCATTGGTCTCTAATTTCAAGAGTATTTCACAAACAAAGCAAAAGTCTCCGAAAAGTGCCGACACTTTGCCTTTGAATTGAAAATTCCTCTGAAAGTCGAGGAAAGAGAGAATCCATTTCTCGATCCTCTCGTCCTCTTTGAGGTAATGAAACAAATGGTCTTTGAAGGCGTTGTGGTCTTTGTTGTAGTGAGTCGTCAGAAGACTTATTAACACCAAAGGGTTTTCGCACAACTTCTCTCGTTTAGGAAACATTTTGCTGTCAATAAATTTCTCCAAATCTAGGATTTCATCGCATTTGACAATCAATTTGAGCGATTCTTTCGCCAGAATCTTGTCAGAGATGTCGATGCCATGGAATTTAAGCAAATGAGTAGAAGCACTGGCGTTATGAGCACTGAACCGGGCGTCTCGTCCGCCGTGAAAACATATGGAACACCGGAATGGAAAGTAATGCAAGTGTTCATAGATATGGTCCTTAATATCCTTGGATTTAATGTCTTTGAACTGAAATCCTTTAGCATTGGTCTCTAATTTCAAGAGTATTTCACAAACAAAGCAAAAGTCTCCGAAAAGTGCCGACACTTTGCCTTTGAATTCTTTTAAGGAGACTTTCAGCTCCTTTCTCTCTTAGGTAAAGAGCTAGGAGAGCAGGAGAAACTCCATTACTTTGTTTACCAGAAACTTCCGCAACACCAGAAACAACATCACTCAGCAGTCTTCTGAAAAATCGACAAAACGTTTCTCACAGATCATGCAAACGACCGGTTCGTACTTGAAATGAATGCCATAATGAATGAGTGCTTCCGTCTTATCGGCGAACTCTACGGGACAGTCGACGGACATATCATCCGTGCAAAAGACACAAATGTATTTAAAGAGTCTGTCCTCCAGTTCCATGTCTTTCTGTTTAGTGAAATAAAACATTTCATTCAATAATTAAAGGTTTACTAAAGACTAATGTCCAGCACATACGGGATCGATGCAAACGATGCCGATGTCTGTGGCCTCCACAGGGAATGGCGAGGCATTGATGTGATTATTCGACGGCTGTATAAGTAATGGGCTCTGCATTTGATCCGCGGTAGGAGCTATTGATAGCAGTTTCAACTGTCCATTGATGAGCACTGGTTGCAGTTGTGATGTATTAAACATAAGGCTGTCCAGTGTTACTACTTGTTGTTTGATAACAGTAGGCATTGCCTTAATATTGGCAATACTTGGAGCTGAACTCTGGAGCGGAACTATTGAACTATTAGTTAACTTAATTGTTGGCGAACCGGTGGTCGGGTTGATCTCTACTACTGGTATTGCCTCTGCTTTTGGTTTCTTTTTGGGTTTTTGTGTTCTGTTTCTGGTTTTCGGGACTTTGAGTCCAAAAATTGTCAAATAATTGGCAATAAATTTGTCTAATGAAGTGATTGTGAACTTCTTGTTAAAGAAGCGATTGAATGGGCCGTCATTTGCCAGCTCCGGATGATCGCTAAGAAAGTGGTTCCTTGTGGTCACATCCAACACATGGATCCGATAGTCTTTACCGGATTGCTTACAAATCATGCATTGAAAGGGTCTGTAGAGGAGGTGCTCGTGAACGTGTCGTACCACTTGAAGGGGTTTCACGACTTGCGACGACTCCTTCACGCTATTCACGAGACGTGAGTTCACTTAGGTTAATGTTCTGCCTGTCATAAACACTCCTAACGGAAACTTATTGAGCACTCCTAAAAACCAGTTCTTCAGCACCTAGGTAACCTTCGTTGAATTCAACTTAAAGAACTCGTACTTCGCGGTCTCCAACTCTTTATGAAGATTACGGCAATGTTTGACGAATGAGATCAAGTCAGTGATGGCCTCATCACAGATGGAGCACTGGATGGGGTAGTAGTCAATGTGTAGTTGTAAATGACTGAACGCTTCCGCATAACCGGTCACCGAATCCTTGCAGAAGAAACACGACAACTGAACCCTTTGCTCCTAAAGAGACAATCCAATCATCAAATGCTAATCACAATCAACAGACATTTCAACCATACCTCAGGTATCTGCTCAACGGGTTTGGTCTCCACTTCCGCCAAAACCACTTCAAACTCCTCCTCTTCGCGGTCGTCGACATCTCCGACGGGTTTTTCGTCTTTAATTCGGTTCGGATCTGATATCACCTTTAGTTCCGCAAACTTTTTGGTACTGATCTTCTTGACGATTATCTTCAGTGGTTTCAATCGCTTCACCAAATCCTCGTAACTGTGATAATGAGTCCACAAACGGATCAGTCATTCAATCGATTTTGGCTCAGCTCTCGAGTCAAACATACCTTTCGTTTTCGTCACTCATTTTCACTGACCTATCAATCCATACAAATCTTAACCACAAATCACAGCAATCTCTTTGATTATCTCAATATTTAGACCTAAATTGCAGTTTGGATTCAATTGTTTTGAAAGTCACCCAAAAGTGAGTCCAAAACAAGTGCCCAAATCATATGCTCGCCATTCATAACATATATCAACAAATGGCACATAAGTTAATGAAACAATTAGTAGTATAGATGTGATTGCAATGAATGGTTAAACATAGTCTTCAGCCAATTGGTGGTGAATTGAGTGTCAAATTGGGTTCAATAGACACACATTGACTCAAATTGAGAGCCAAAGTGGCGGCAAAATAGCCACTCATTTGAATGTATGTGAGTTCGCAATGGAGTGATGAGTGCACTGAACATACGGTCCCTTTCGCTGCACTTCACTCACTGAATGGGTGTTTGAAAAACATTGCAA